GCGGAATGAACAAGCGTATGGTGCGATGCCTCTAACCTGATTATCGCCGATTAATCCGGTTATGTAGAGGCGCGAAATTGGCCGAATTACTATTAATGGTCCCGCATCGCGATCGATGAAAGTTTCCAGAGAGATAGAGAGAGAGAAATTTGCGAGGAGCGACTAGTGTCAATTTTACAGCTAATTATCATCTGTTAAGCGTTCCTTCACGCGATTGTAAAATATAGCTTTCGATTTTATATTCCTATGATCGAATATAATTACAGGGGAGTACAAGCTGGAATTGGTTTCCAATGCATGGAAACTTCCATTCATTGATCATCATATTGACCTCGTGACTTGATTACATTTGAAACGGTTGTGCGTGACCATAATAGCCACTATAATCCGCTTAATTATTAGTTACGTTTAAATTGCTATAAATGCTATAAATCGCGCTTGTACAAATCCGCGTAATGTCTGTCCGGATTGATACCGTTTAATAGAGCGCGTTATCATGACATATAATCCTCACAAATACACACAAGTATACTTTTATACTAATACTTTTATACAGATATACCCGTACATTTATACACATATGCATGGGGGCATTATTTAATAAAAAAAAATTATTTAAATGAAAAAAATGAAGAATAAAAAATTGTAATCCTGCTTCCTCATCCCTGAAAAAAGAAAATCCTGCGGACGCCCATACACTTACACTTCTCCGCTTCGTTTGCATCGGCGAAACAAACTTTGACAATCCCGAGGGTATAAGAATCCATGTAGAGATTCAGAGGAAATCCATTTGACGCATTATCCCGGGGAAAACGCTGGCAATTATACGAAAGCGAGGCGCGATCGCCATTATATATTAGTACGGTCCTCGGACCGAAAGAACAAAGTCCTCCGCGACACTCAGGCACGACTAATTAGGAGACCTGTTCCGCCCAAGGGATAATCGATTCGGCAGCTTTGTCGCCGTGGCATTCGCGATTAATTCTCTCGGTCGCGACCCCAGCTTCCGTTCTCTCCCCTATATTGCTCGTTTCAATAAGAAACGAGCAGAGTGGCCTCGACGAAGCCAGAGACCAAGGGGTCGAATAAGGGAGAGGGCAAATTCATAACGCGCGCGAGGAAAATCGCGGATGTGCGCCACGCGAGCGTCTCGAATTCCCCGTAGCGCGATGCATACGTAATGCGATTCACGACGGGACGCATGCGAGATCTCTGCATCCGGCTCTCTTCTGGAGAGGAGATCTCTCTTGTCCCACGTCTCCTCTTCGGCTCCTCCCTTCGGAATCTCTCTCTCTCTCTCTTGCTCTCCTCGACTCGGAGATCCTGCCGGATCTTTTCTGCGTATAGGTATAGGTTGCCTTTCCCGGGTCCTCGGATTACCGGGAGATTCTCTCGCATGGCAATCAACGCGCGACCTCGCTCCTCTCGCGCGTCCTATTGAACTTTTGCCTCGCGCGCGTTCCATCTGCTCTCTCGACCTTCTCTCTCCCGAAGGCGAAACGCGACGACGTGTGCTCGCGCGTTTATCGTATCGTCGTTTTACAGAGGTGTCGACGTAGCTTCGAGGCACAGACCTTTAAGTTTTCATAGGCTACGCGACTTTTCACACGTCTGCGAGAATTTACGAAGGAATGTGTTACACGAATCCTTTCTTCTCTCATATATAGGTAGAGAAGCTTTTTTGTTCCCCGTTAATTCATTGCTTCCGAATGGAGACACGAGTTCTTGGAATATATATATGATGCGTGAAAGAAGGAATTTAAAAATTAATTCAATTTAAAATACAAGAAATTTAAAATACCGGAATGAATCAAAAGCAGAGCTTTATGTTAATATCATTGTGTTGTATAATGCAGGAGCTATGGTATGACTATGCATTCATAATATTTGTATGCAAACAATATTACAATTATATGTTATAATTCAAATAACATTCTTTCATAATAATTATGATAATCAAATTAATTATTAGTTTGATATCTCTAAAATATTGATTACGATATGACTACACTGTGTAGTAATATTGATAGCTATAATACGCATTACAATTTAAATGATCTTTTCCAAATATAAATTATTTTACACTTTGGTATATATTATTGACATATTTACTTTATATTACTTATTAATTATAAATATGGTAACGTAGATACATATCATAATTAATATTTTAAACATATGTATTAAGTACGCATAAGTTATCGCGCATACATAGGAATAAATCAAATTTGTATCTGTATTTTTTTAATAATAGCAATATTCTAAAAGAGCATGTATATTATAAAATTAATAACACCATACATAAATAATTATTAGTCCAATATCTCTCTCATATAAAATTATTAATTCAATATAATTTCTAATAATATATACAATATATATATATATATGGACATTCTCTACATCGCATCCCTCTATAATCTCTGCATTGCTGCATCGCCTCGAGATGATTCGCAAGCTCGGCCAGTAGAATACTCGAACGTAATAGCTCTGTAAATTCTGCGAGCAAACGCGCGCCACGGTTCGCGTACCTAATTTTACTCACGAAAATGATCATTAAACGGGTTAGATACGCCCTACAAAGCAAGAAGCTGAATATATTTCGGCTAAAACATGAACACGCGCGATGTTTACATTCGCATTCGCGAGTCGCGCGACTCGCGATCCTTAATGCTACATTTGACAGACGAATTGATACGCGAAGCGTAACTCCGATAGAGAGACAACTCGCAAGACAAAAGCACGCGAAATAATATGCGACTCTACGAATATTATCAATGCGACGACTTGGAAAGAGTTGTTGAATTTTGAAATATTAATCTTCATATTTTCCGGATAAAAATTAATTATATATAATCAAATTAGTCGAATAACAAATTTTTGAATTTAATAATTTTTATGATTGATCTATATGCATATTATTTGCTGTTACTTCGGATTTTTATATCATCGACAGAGGATAAAATTTGGAAAATCTTAAAATTTTCCAATTATACGGACTTGAAATATGCCTTAGATGTAACTTTTACATTTATCTCCTTGTATTCAACAATTTTATTGCGTTCCCTACGTCATCATTGTACACGTGCGAGTTCCGATTCGACTCGGTTACAGCTGCCGATCCTTTTGACGGGCACGCATATCAAACGGCTTAAACGATTAAATTGAGAGTCGCGAATCTGCTTGAATCGGCGAATTGATTCTTTTTATACGAGCGACGTGCACGCGTCGAATGTTCCGAAAAAATTTGCTACACATACCAAGCTAATGTGATCTGATCTGTTTATTCCTGCGTCACGCGGAGATCACTCTGTAAAAAATTAATTATAGTGGATGATTGTTACATAGAAGTTTTGGGCAAGCTCCAACTAATATCAGGCATTAATTTGCATAATTATTATAATTGAAATATTTTCCATACTCTGGAGGAGACTAGATTTTGCAATATATAATTTATTAACTTCATTGTAATATTAAATTGATATAAATACACGGCACGGAAATATTATTAGTTTCATTGAATATGAATTAACATATGGATTTTTATTTTATAATATATACAATGGTTTAATTACCATATTATAAATTAAGATTTTAAAAAAATTAAGATTTTGTACTTTTCAGCAAATATCATCAAAGTTACAATTTAATTTCAACATTAAAATCTATTTGTGTAAAATGTATATCAAGTATATTTGAGCTTTATTGTATATGCACGAAATGCATTATGCATCTTTTACTGTAATTTTCATGGTCAATAAATTTAATTTTTAATGGATGCAATCAAATAGAATATGTGGATGATACGACGTGACTATAATTACATATTAATTAATGTTTTATTTAATATAAAAGTTAAATGTAAACGCGGGAAGAGGAGAAGGGATAAATTAAACATTAGTATTTTTTAATCACGAAAAAACGGAAAAAATATAGTAAGTACTATTAAAATATCGTTTTTTAATTTATTCCAATTTATTCCAATTTTTTTTATTTTAAATTCAATTAATTTTTAATTTTCTTCTTTTGATATTCAACTGATAAATATATTACACATTTTAAAGAATTTATTTAATGAATTAATAATTACTAGTTTTAAATCTAATTCTTCTCTTAATTTATCATTTCATCCATACTTATTGGATATCTTAATTTTATTTTATTGGAAACAAATTAAAACGACATGAAATTATTATAATCTTTTTATTCGTGGATTAGAAAAATATTATATATATATATTATTTTATTAATTTTATTAATTATATAAAATATTTGATATTTTATGAGAATTAAATAATTCTTGATAAATTTTAATAAATCTCGCGGTAAATCGCGTCGAAATCGAATAATTTTACTAATGGAAAATCGTTGTATATACCTATCCGTTTATTATTAATTAATCAGAAATGGAAAGAATGTTCAACGTAAAATTATTCCATAAAACATCACATATATATTTGGCATAAAGAAATACTTCGAAGCGACAGCACGGCCTTGGTGTTTGTTTATGTCGTGTATCTGTGCTGCAGCGCGATACTCTCTAGCCGACAGGTAGTAGGAGGCGAGTTATTTCGTATCAGTGTTGTCCTTCGAGAAGCAATCGCGACAAGATCTAAGAGAGAATGCTCTCGCTATTAACTATTCATAAGCGTATCAAAGCAACGGCTATTCATCTATTATAATATAAGCAGATGAGTACGTCGTGCGACTTATTCATTCAAAGTAGGAATAAAAACGAAATAATAGAGGAAGATTAATTTATGGCAATTTTAATTTATCGTATCTCGTAATATTTACAGACGGCAATTATTTTTTAATCATTATCATTTCATAATTAAAAGAATAGATAGATATAAAAATAGGTTAAGTAACGGAAAAGAATTGATGTATAAACGCATGAAATAATACACGAATCGTTGGATAAATTACTTAACGCTAACGGATACTCAATACATATTTTTGAGATAATAATTATAACAATTTTTGTTTGTTTGTTACAGATTAACGTAGTCAACTTCCTGTTACACATGGCGACCGGTGAGTCATAATTTTTATTTTATGGTGAATAAAAATATATTCACGCGATGCCGTTTCTGCGTTACATTATGCGATATCGCAAATTATCAAGTATTTCGGAATTCGCGTATAGTACACGAATGATCGCGGCAAGATAAAGGCCGTGCCAAAAGGGCAGATTTAATTTCGATTCGTGTCGCCGTGTTTATTTCACCACAATATATACGTGCATATCACGGGGTCCTGATCACATTCGTAATTGCACGTTTATAAATAATGCACGCGGCATCGCGTAAACGTGCAGGCATGTATGCGCTCGTCGCGATTCTGGGATCGCATAGGCTAGAAATCTTTAAAAGACACTAGGAATAATATATACCATTAATATTAAAATGTTAAATATATTTCTTAAAAAAAAGCTTTGAGAGTTTCATATAATTTTATTTTCAGTTATATAGAATAAAACTAATGAAAATCGACATTCTCACGTCGCCTCTCCCGCGCTATAATATTATATAAGAAAAAATAATATTACAAGAGAATAGGAATTGTTTTCGTTGAGAAAAATAAAGAAAGTATTTTGTAGCGGACAATTTGTCTCTTTATTACCATCATTTACGTCGAATCGTTGCGTCGACCGACACGGAATGAATAAATAACGGGGCACATCGGCACTCTATCAAATTCAATTGATTCCTACGCGCGCGCGCGCGAAGATAAAGCGATGACGAAACGAGGAACCGAAACCGCACGTCAAGTACGTACTTGAAACTGGCCGCGAATACTTTCGTCGCTGGTGGCACGTGAAAAGCACCGTTGTTCCGGCAACCGCCGACGGGGTAATAAACCGCGTATAGGTGAAATTCATGACGGCGAAACGTCTACCACTCTTCGAGACGAAACGCCGCCCCGGTTGGTGTCGGCTCGTGTAAAGTCGTCGATATCCGGTCCCGGACTGGTTTGATGTTCTCGCATAAACCCGACCGCGATCGTACCGTTCTGCTCGTACGTCGGACGTTAGGAGGAAGTGGGTGGAGGAGAAAGGACCGGAAGACATCGATCTCTTTCCTACGGCCGCGTCTCGAAGGAGGAAGAAAAACTTTGCGTTGTATCCCTCACTCGTTTCGCGCGGTCTCCCCTGAATAATCTAGTCATTCGTAAATTTGAAAATGACTCGCGAGAGACATACGGTGGTTTCCGGAATGTGTCGCACTACGAACTTCTCCGGGTTCTCCGGAAAAGAATGAAAAAAATAGGAAAAAAGAAAAACCGTCGAGAGTTAAGTGTGCGCTTGAAAGTGCACGAAACTTCTTTAGAGAGAATCGTGCTTACATCGGCACATAAGTGTGCGTATACGTATTGACGACGCTTATTTATACCGATCGTTATTTTACAGTTCTAAAAAGGATTTTACTTCGTCAGCGTGTATATTGGTTTTCTTGTCACACAATAATAAGTTACTCGAAAAATAATGAATAAGATCAATGAAGACGATCTACACTCCATTCCTCTCAGCCATAGAGCCACACGCGATGTTATTGCGATAATTAAGAAAGAAATTTTGGAAACTAAGGAATTTGTAAACACAAATCTCTATGGCTGAGAGGAATGGAGTGTAGATCGTGTTTTTAAAATAAAAAATTAAAAAATTAAAAAAAAATTAAGGAGCCGACTTAATATTCTTATTATTTCTTAAGATCAATGAAATTTATCCTCGATATTAATTCGATATATTAATTCGTGTCGCTAACTCGAATCATGGATATTTTTCTGGCGAAATTAAAGAGTATATACGAGAAGTATCTTGGAATTTGAAGTAAAAGGGGTAAGATCCTAATTAAGTGAATTCTTGCATTCCGCAGTAATATACGTGCATTTAATCGAATGAAAAGTCGCGTTCCGTTAATTGCGGGTAAAGTTCAGTGGATGATCGGCCAGAATTGTGGCCAGCATCGTTCCGACTTCCTGGCGGAAGAAACACGGAAGACGCGCGGTGATAGACGAGAAAAACAGACGGTAATCAGGAAAACCGGTCGTTCGCCGAGAGAAAGATAACCGGGGAAGAAGGAGAAGCAGGAGAGAAAGAGAGGGAATGGGCGCGAGAGAGACTCGAAACGAGGTAAAAATTGATTCGGCAGGTGAAACCTCCGGCTCTGTTCTCTGTTGATTTAAGCAACGTACCGGCTGCCTCGTGCTCTATAATCATGGCGAGCAGTCCATTATTACTCCACCGCCAGTGCCTATCTCAACTCGGTCCTTCTCCACTTCACGTCCTCGCCATATCGCTCCTCATCCTCCGGCTTCGTCTTATTGTTTTCTCTTTCTCTTTCGTCCTTCCACAACTCTCGCTTATATCCCGCTGCTCTCCTCCTTGCCGTGTGCTCGTACGTATATATACGGACACGAGAACCAAACTCCACCTTCCTTCTTTCCTCGCTGGATAGTAACGAGGATAACGAGAGGATCGTCCCAAAGACCGCAAATAATAAATACTTTTCTGCGCGCTCCGTAAAATTTCTCGGCCGATTTTATACCGCGACGCGCGCGGCTTTCCCAGAGAATCGTAAGTTTGAGGAAGCTGTAGCATTACTCTCTCGTGTTTCACAATTGCGGGGATTGCGCCGCAAATAGCCGCGCGGCTATAATTGACCGGTAGAATTTCGCTCGCGGAAACTTCGACCGAGTAGATGGATCGAAAATTAGTAAGTACCGGTACTGAGAAATTTTAGAAGTCGCCCGACAAATTTCTCTTTCTCTTTATCCCCTTATGTATCAACCATATGCCTAATTAAAAAGAAATATCCATATGTTTCTACGTTTGTTTCTCATTAAGTTCGATAGATAAGTGTATCGTGGGATAATTATGCGAATTTTTAGTAGCCAATACCGCATACAAATTTGCGCACGATAACATCGGCATTATATATTCCCCGGCGTGTTTGGTTAGGAATTATATTCTGCAAAGAATATATTTAATAAAGAGATATCTTTCTTTATTAAATAGAGTAAAAAACAGAACAATATATGATAAAGCACACAAACCGTTTTTCAGCATCCGAATATATCTACCCTTAAAAAGTGTATATGTTGTAATAAAATGTTGGGTATAATATTCTAGTAAATGAGTATCTCGATGTATTTATATCGTAAAAAAATATCAATATGCGCGCATATAGAATAAACAACAAGCAAATTTTTATTACGAACGAATACGCTTTTTATTACGAACGAATATCGATAGATGAATGTGATCGGCGTTCAAAAATCCAAAATGTTAGAAAGCGACGATTTAGAATCCATTATCCAGAAAATTCATTCCTCTTATCTTCGTTTTTCTCCTCTTCTTTTTCTCTCCCGTACCTACAGCCTCTTTTTGCTCCTGTAATTTCGATCCTCTCGGAGGATCTCTTGGATTCGGATCCAATTCGATCGGCTTTGGCGCGACTCTTTGGATATAGAAGAATGGAATTTCTGAAATGAATTATTTGCACTCGCGCTGTTTACGACGTGAGAGATAAAAAAGATCGATGAGTGAAATGATCAATACGCCTATTTATATTATCTCACGACGGAAATATGTTATTCCGAAACTAAATATTGCTCGTGTATCTCTGACGTTCTACACACACGCTTTTTCGTTTATATCGTATAATCTTTTACAAGCCTTTCTCTAGTTGTCAGCCAGTTACGTCGGCGTCATTTTTTTTCTCCGTATCCTTCCTGTCGCGCGGTATGTTTATTCAAATGAGAGGCTTGTAATTCGGCAATTCACCCAACCCGATCGCATGACGTTTCGTGTTATGCGTCGAGACATTCCATCCTAGAATTCTTCTTCATCAATATTCACTCTATAACGACGAAAAAAAAATCACAAAGGCGTGTCCTCTGGGGAATCTTTGGAATTAATACATTTTTCAAACTGGTTTTTAATTTGATATTTTTGTGAAAATTTCCGGCAGTGTAATAGTAGCGGATCCTTTGCAAGTTTTTAAATTTTGATATTGAATATTTTCATTGACAAGTTCTCCATGTCTACGCTCACCCTGTCGTTGCCATCCGCGTCCAATCTCTCGCCTCCGTATATACCTACCCGTGAATTTAGTGCCCCATTTTCTCATCGTAGATGCGAATTTTTCTTTAACGAAAAACTCTCGGACGTTTCCCTCGGCATCTAAATTTTTAATTTCACAGTCCCTAGTACGCGATCCTTCCCGCGGGATTGATTTTCTCGGCACCGGCGACGACGACGGACGGCGACTTTACGGCTTCGCGAATAAATCGCGCGCTAGCTTTTTCGTTTGTTAAGTTCGTTTTCGGTCGACGATACGGATAAACGCGTTACGATTTATTCCGCGAGTGAAGAAGATCCTGCTCTCGGCGCCGTTTGCGCTTATGCGAGTTAAATTGCGCCATGGCGTTATGGCGGTCATGAGTTATCGCACTATGAAGCGCAAAAATAAACGTCCCTTGGCTTAGTTACTTGCCAGCTGACTGTGCCAAGCGAAATATTCAAAGCAAACTGCCAAGGTATTTAGTTGTAGCATATATTATTACCACACGCTAGATTCTTTGTTACAATATTGATTTGACTATTCTAATATATATACATATATAAATGTACTTCACATATTAATTACGTTTCATTAAATCCTGCCATTTTTTTATTCACGCGCGCAAAGTATTGTATAGGTGAGATATTGCATAAAAAATGTTTCGTTTGATTTGAGATTCTCCTTTGACTCTGCTTTATTTCAACTCAACACTCTTTTTCGCTTTTATACATATCAAACGAATATTTAATTCGACGAATGTTGATGATGGAAAGCTTTTTTTTTTACAACGATTTGCGATATTTATCGAGTTTCATTTTTTTCCCAAGTAATTAGTATTATTCTCGAGTATACTTGAGAAAAGAGCCGGAGGTTTGTTGAATTAACACATTTTTTTTTAAGTACGCGTTCGGTTAGCGTATAAAATATTTAAATTTTGCCGTCGGTTTCGTGACTACCGTGGCACTCTCG